TTAGAATATTTTTATAAAAATATTGGAAAAAATTCTGAGATATTTATTACAGTTTCTAATTTACTCTGCAAATTGTAATTGTAATTGTGGTTTAAGGCAAATGTTTAAAAAATCGAGGAAAATGAAAATTGGAGTTTATCGATTATATGGCGAAGAGTTAATAATAAAAGCGATTTTTATACATTCGTATAAAAAAAAAATGTTAAGTGGTTTTTTGACATGAAAATAGCGTAGCATCTTCCATTTTTGTTTGATAAATTTAATAAATTTTCTTTAACGGAATATTCGTTGTCTCTGTGATATGGATATAATTACATCTAATTAATTAAATTATTTAATTAAATATAATTAAATGATAAATAAATTCACTTATTTAACGAAAATTTTTACTCGATTTTACAAGTGTGATAAACAACATTCATATTAAAACACTAATTGAAAGAAAATTTAATATCATTTTAATAAAATATGTTCTTAAATAACATTATAACTTCAAGGCACATTTGGACATTGTTACATTGTAAAAATTACTGAGAAAAACAGTCAAATATTAATGTAAATATTTATAAATATAAATAATTTATAAAGTTTGTATTGTATAAAAATATATACATCATTATATATTATTAATCAGCAAGCAAGCATCACTCTTCAGGGATGCAATTTATAATTTACCAATCCAGGGAAGGGAAAAGGTTATAGAGAATGAAGGTGAACACTTTGAGACCTAATCTTGTACCTTGATTTATGTAATAAAATCTTGAACTTGGGGGGGAAAAAAAAGGAGGAAGAACTTATTTGCACACTTAATAATATTTTCATTTCAATTAGCTAATATTAGAGACAAGAAATTCTTAGATATAATATAGAAATGGTATTATAACGTTTCTATCACAAGTACTGGTGGAATAGTTTAACAGACAAACTCGTAATTAGAGGAAAAATCGGTAGATAGAGTTGGAAGCAGAGAAATAGCTTTTCATATTAACTGGAATTCGAGAGCAGATGGCAAAGGAAACAGCTGTGAAGGCTATAGAGAGATCTGCATTATTAGTAATCCTATAGACCGTGTCATTTATTAGCTCGTTCATCTTGTTAAATTCGTCCTTAATTATTTCGAACGTAGCACATTCCAAGCCAGATAACAATCTCATTAAAGATCATTATTTCATTTAGAAAAATTGAGAATATATTGAGGAAAAAATAAAATTCAATTTTAACGTAAATTTTTATCCCCTTAAAAATGAATATTCGTTACATTATAAAGATAAGCAGTAGTGTATTATTTTGTTTTTCCTTCACATAATAAGTTTTATCAATTTTAAATTGTAATATCTCTTAAATTAATAAGATGGCTTAGGATTATTATTTTTTTTTTTAATAGAATTACGTAATTCCATTTAAAAAATTAAAGTTGATCTTCTCTATGATCTTTAATGTCAAGAAAAAGAAACTATAATATATTTCCTTACACTAAATAATTTTTGAAAGGAAAAAATTCTTTTTATATTGTTTTAAATTTATTATAAAATATACTGTGTCGTATAGAAGAAAGTAGAAATATAAGATCTTTATTTTATTTTTTAGTATAAAAAAGATCAAAGTAATAAATAAATAAAAAAATTAAAGATTTGAAGAATTTTGTATGTTGCATAGACATAAATATTATAGATCTTATATGAAAAACTTTTGATTTTTTCAATTTAAAAAAAAAAAAAAAGACAAAATCGTATTATAATAAATTTTATATTAATATGACAATGTTATTTTTAAGGGAAACAAGTTATAAAATAACAATGTTAAATCATTATACATATAATAGGATTTTATTGAAGTAAAAACATAAATATAATCAATTCAACAAAATTGCAATTAAACAATTTATTTTATTTTGCAATAAGCCATGTGTAAATTAATATTTTCAGGATCCGTACAATAGAATGACGAGCCCATTATTATCATGATAAACACTACATCTATGAATTTCAGTCACTTCAGTTCTTTCATAATCGAAAATACGAATACTTCAAATCTTTATTAATACAATTAAAACTACTATTATATATGTAATTTAAAAAATATTAAATGAAACACAAAGTTACCATCGAATAAAATAAAAAATAGCTATCAACAACAACGATTACAACTATGAGAAAATGTTTTAATCGTTACAATATTAAATAATTTTAATTATATCATAATATGAATACCTCAAATGCTTCGTTAATAATATAAAAATCGCAAAATAAGCTTGAATAAATTTCACTTTCTAAACGTGCATCATGAATAAAAGAAAAATAATTATCTAATCAACAATTTCAAAATCTTAATCTCGTCTCGTGTCCTGTCCACTGTCCATTCATATATAGGGCGTTTATATATTGAGAAATACTTTCCCAGATATTTTCATCCTCTATGATAATTATACCCTCAATCGCCTCGATCCCTCGTTCTAACAAGGGATCTATATAAAATAAACGAGGGGCAACGTTAGCGGTTTAGCTAACTAAGAAAGATCAGAAGATCATAATAACGGGGGAAGATGCCCCCGTCTTCACGATGAACTTGACCGAGTTTCGCTGTTCACCGGGTAACGGGGCAAGGTATGTAAAGTGGACAGCATTCATCCTTGAACATTGAATCAGCATGTAACATGATTAGGTCATTAACGCCCTAACCAAGTTAGCATAGTGCGAGGGACTTCGCTCGCCGCCGTTACCCACCGTACGTTCGTATGTTCGTTCATAAAGCCGATACAACCAAGACGAACGTGCACTTCTGTATCGGGATACCATAACAGCGACAGTGTAACAAACGATCCGATGAATGGGCCAATCTTTCTTACGATTCGCACGGTTTTTCCTTCCGATTTCCAATGAATCGACGGCGACCGGAGGATCTGGATCTCTTTAATACATCCTATTGTATTGCTGTCAGTCGTACGAGTATTAATGGATCAGATATTAAAATTTGGTGTTTGGTTTCAGCTTTTTAAAAAGTTGTTCTTAACGAAACTTTGCGAGCAGAGCACAAATAAATGCAGCAATTTCTTTTTATCCAAGTTAAAGTTAATTATTTTTTTTTTTTTTTTTTTTTTATATTCCTTTGTAATGCAATTCTTTATGATGGATATTTTAAATTATAAAGTATTTAGTTTTTAATCAATTTGTTGTGAAGAACGTTCGGATGAAATTATATTTCTATGTCAAAATTGAAGAGGGAGTGAAAGGTTTCTAGGTTCGATAAAAAATTTTATTTTATAATTCGTTCATTTTATATATACAATAAAAAAATTTCAATAAAAATTTTTCAATAAGATGAATTTCCTTTTAATATAGGATATAAATATTTTTGAGATTGATTGTATATATTTGCTGTTTGTGTAAAGTGTTTTACTGTTTTTCAATTGTTTGGATGAATTTAACAAATGTTTTGAATTAATAATAATAATAAATTTAATTGCGTCAAGTGTGAACAATTGGTGATGAAAAAATTCCAAAGATACTTTATTTTTAGTGAATTTGAAATTTATTGTATTTTATTTGAAACTCGAAAAGCATATTATTACATGATATTAATTATTGATTTATATTATTTATTATATTATTATTATTATATTATATATTACTTTAGTCAAAATAAATGCAGAATGTATAAAAATAAAATTTTAAAAATTGATATACAAGATGTGTTATTGAAATGATCCATGCAATTCTCTCTTAAACTACTTATTTTTGAAAGAAATATTTTTGATACAAATGGAAATTGTCCTGTTTTGAAGGAAAACATCTCAATAATCACAAATCTTATCTTAAATGTCTTCCAGATTTCAATTTTTGTTTTTCCTTTTTACGGAATCGTATGCATTGCTATTTTTATATTTAGTTATGTTTTGAATTCTTGTTTTTTCAAAACGAAACGATTTTAACTTAATACTCTTAAATAAATATATTACAATTTAATAATTTTTGAATTATTGTTTTTTAATGTCAAAATCTGATACATCCGATTTTTTTGATTAATATATAAGAGTAATAGTTTAATCCATTATAGTTTAATTATATATATAGTTAAAACGTTATGTCATTACAAAAAACCACAATATTTTTAAGAAATTTATTATTTGTTTGTTATATTGTTTTAATTCGAAATTCAATAAATTTATCTATATTATTGCAAATATAATATCTTGGATTTTTTATCAATAAATATTTGCAGATCGAATTGGAATTTTTCAAATTATTTCTCATTATTTATTTTTTTTTAAATGTGAATTATTAGAAAATTTATTCATTCCTTTTATTTAATTTAAATCGTTTATTAAAAAAATCAAAATGTTAATTAATGCGATTGACAGTTTGCATTATTTATTAAAAAAAATTATGAAGAAATATTTGTTTTTTGCATTTCAAATTTTACAATTTATATAATATTACGTAAATATTTTTTAAAATTATTTCATCCACAAAAGTCGAAAATATAATTTTCTGTTTCAACTTTCTTATTGTTTTTGCTTTCCTAGAAATTAAAAAAATAAATTGACTATTTAAAAATGTTCAATGAAAAATATTGCAAATTTCAGCTAACTTTACATTTGATGAATAAAAATTTAGTTCAAGAATGGAGAATTATTTTAAAAATATATCGTCCTTATCGTCTCTAAAAAAACATTCTATCAAAAGATTCTATAAACTTATTTTCGTATCTACAATTAACCAATCAAACGTATCACTTATTGAAAAGAAGCCAATGGAACAATTTCAAATATCGCAAACATGAAAATCATTAATAGTGAATAGAGAATGAATCATAATGATTATAACTTCCTGCCAATATTCTGAAATATTTGTTCCATTAACAATATCCATTTAAATAATATCTCCAGGAAGAGATATAGATAAAGAAAAATCCATTTTAATTGCTTTCCTCTATAAGTATAGATCCATGGTGCTTAGAATAGATTAAAAACTAATTGACATCTGATTTCTTTTTAATTCCAGGCGCGGAAGGAGCGTTTAAGAAACTAAAACCTGACCCCTGTGCTTCGAGTCCTCACATAGGTCATACGCCAACCACCGCCAGTTGTCCAACACCTGCTCGACGACGGCACAGGACCACATTTACACAGGTTTGTTCTTGAAAACGTTTTAAAATTTTTAATTTTGCGATCTTTGAATTACGAAAATTTTCCAATTTTTCGGTAAAATTGAAACTTTACAACACAATTTTAATTTTTATACCAACTTTCGCGTTTGTTTTGTTTTGTCCATCGATTTTTCAAAAATCTACTTACCCAATACGATTATTTCAAGTTGTAAAGATAATAATAGCGATAATAATTTGACGTATACTCATAAACAGTCTGAATTATTCTGAAGAATTAGAATTACAAGAAAGAGATAATAGATTTAAATATTCAGCAAATAATTTAACATGTATATTTTATACTCATTATTATAATAAACAAGATGTTAATACATTTGTGGTATGTTTTTGGAAGAAAATTGATTCTTGAGAAGCGAGAATAAACATAAAAGTTGATATACAAAAATAGTTTGTTAAATTATAAAGCATTGTTTTAAATTCGTTACTCATAGTAACGTTAATCGATATCGATATTTTCAACACATATATAATAACAAAATGTTTTTTTTTTTTAATTTTTTCATTACAAATTCAGATGAAAAAGTTGTAAAAATCTTCGATCTTTATCCACTTTTATTTCCTTCGTGATTCAATTAAAAAATTACAAATTTATTTTTATCTAGTATTAACTAATCACTAATTTTTAATTTTTCAAAAAAGTTCAAGTCGTTTTATCCAATTTTAAAATTACTCCATTTTAGACTTAATTCGTTATTTGTTTCTTATATTTATGAATATCAACACGAGTTGATATGAATTTTTTCATTACGAGTTTAATCATTGCTAATTCGATTATAGATTAATTTGAATTTTTTTTTTTTTTGCTGCTTATACCAATAGTTTGAGACGTTTCAAAAATTGTTCATCTTCATGAAAAATGATTTTTGAATTCAATCAAATCCAAAAAGATCCCGAAATGACAAATTTGAACCAAAAATTTTGCTTTAACGACACGAATATAATATATTCGTTATTGAGACAATTGAAATTCGCGAGATGAGATGAAATAGAGATCGCTCTGTCTTCGTTGCATTCTCTGCCTCTTTTTATCCATAAAAACTTAATAAAATAAACCGACATTTCCGTACACACAAATTTCATACTTATTTTGATCGATCCTTCAAAGATATTCCACGAATACATCAACTTACTTATGCACGTATATTTTATATTTATTTTAACATTTTCTATTTCGAATTGTTAAACAAAGAATTGTTGAATTTTATAGAAATTTTTCTATAAATTTCTAAAGCTATTTAAATAATGTGATCTAGAGTTAGCGTGTTCGCCATAGATCTGCCAAGAAATTCTTACGATATTAGAAGCGAGCCGTCTTTACTTTCTCTCAATAATAATAATTTTATACGAATGATTGTGATTTGGAGAAATTTTTTGAAAAAAAAAAGATCTTGGCTCTCAGAATATGATACGATATTTTCTTCCAACCACGTTCAATTATTGTTACGGTTCTCGATAGAGGGATTATTTACGGATAAACTCGTTGCACACTTTTTCGATTACCTCGATACGAGTTCTTTCGCTATAGCGGCCAAATTTCCTGCCGGATAGTTCAGATCGGCTTCACTACGGCCTTCCCAATTGTTTCGCAGGAGCAGCTGGCAGAATTGGAATCGGCATTCGCAAAATCTCATTATCCAGACATATACTGCAGGGAGGAATTGGCAAGGTCCACCAAATTGAACGAAGCTAGAATTCAGGTGAGTATCGTACTTTTTCTAACCCAAGAAATAGCAGACATGAGAACTTGTTTCGTTTCTATCTTCTTCTAATCCGTTATTAACCTCGAAGGTTGATAATAACACTCATTCAACACCGATATTTTTGATAGGATATTCTTTTAGAAATGAGATTACGTATAACTGGAGAAATAAATATTTCAGAACACATTTTAAAATCATATAGAATATTATATTAGAATAATATTATTGAATTTATTATTCTAGTTGAGAGAAATATATATTTGACACATCCAGCTTTCTCTCATAATAAATTAAATAATGATGAAATTTAATATTAAAAGGATAGTTTTCATCGATTCTATCGTCATTGGTCACTTTTGTTTGAACATTGAACAAAGATTATAAGAGAAAATTATTGTCAATCAATCGCTCGTGGAAACGAATGGGCTAATAATTTTTCTACTTCTTTGAATTTTTTATTTCCTTTCGAAAATTGTTTCGAAACAGCTTATCTTAGGAAGGATGGAAATTATACTTGTACGACAAATTTCGTTGAATATATTTTTCCTTATTTTCCCAACAAGCTTCTGCATGCTGTTTCTCCAAAACTTTGTGTACAGATATATTCCATACCTATCTTTTTGGCCATGAGTCATGCAATAATTGAATAAAAGACGCATGTAGGGTGACAAAATGAAATTACGCGCGCAAATGTCGATCCAAGATACCCTCGAGTCTTTCGAGGGTTGGAGAGTCGATCAATGGAAATGGAGGCGTTTCGAATAAACTTTCTGATATTCACAGAAAAGTGGCGAATACAAAATTATCCGTACCGATGATAAGCATTGTTCTTTAATATCTTCGAAAAAAGAATTTCTATTTTTATTATTAATTAAGAAGGAATGTTATTTGTTTTTATTATCTTAACACTTTAGCAAAGAACGATTATAGTTAATTATTTCTGTGTTCCTCTATCTTCAGATCAGAAAAATTGATGTATCATTTCTTGGCTTCAAAATTCAAAATTGAGACGTGTGTTTTCTCGTCTACCTAAAATGGCGAGCATATGAATAGAAAAAACATTTTATTGAAAATTTTATTTCTGTTTGTATAATACAGAAGGAAATACAGAATATAATTTCAGAATTATTCTTACTTTTATTCTTGCTATATGCCTATGCAAGTATTCATGGATGAGATCCATTAGTTTATAAAAATAACGAAGTTTAAAAAAGAGTTGTTTAATGTTATTTAGTAAATGTAAATTATGCTAATGCTTTTATTTTTCTATTTTTTTTTTTTTCAAAACAGTCGAAGCAAATTAATAGAAAAAAAAAAAAACTGTTGCTATATGACGAATTCTAATGGTATTTTTCTAGTCAACATTAAATTTTACGATTGATAAATTGATTTTAATTATTTTAAATAGTAAAATATTATAATTTTCAACAATTACTTTTGTTAAATTGGTTATCAATTAATTTTTCTCTTGAGACAAAGAAAGACAGAAATAAATTATTTTTTTTACTTCTTCTTGCTTGAAAATAGTTCTTTTAATAACAACAAACGTTTACGTAATTATTATTGTTTCTTACTAATATCACGCGTTTACTACAATTTATTCAATATATAAAATTGTTTAAAAAATTTTTCAATTTAGAAAATAAACATTATCCACAAACAATTAATTCTTTGATTTGTTATTTTTCCAAAATTGAAACTTTACTTCAAATTCAATTGAAATACATTACCTATCAAATATTTAATTTAATCTTCCAAATATTCGCATTATTTAAAATTGTTTCACCAAACAAACAAACAACTCGATTGAAATTTATCAAACAATGAATACCTTTATTTAAAATTATTATTCTCATTAAATTCGAAACGACGACATCGTTAAGAAGAATTTTCTTCGAAGCAAAGTTTGGGGGGAAAAATGGGCCCATATAAACGAATGCATCGTCATTTTTCCAAAATTGAAAAGACTTTACTTCAAATTCAATTGAAACACACTATCTATCCCTATATTTAATCTAATCTTCCAAATACTGTTTCAAATTATTTCATCAAACGAACAAACAGCATAACCTCGATTAAAATTACTATTTTCATTAAATTATCTATCCGAAGCCTAAAATGACGGCATTATTCGGTTAATTTTCTTCGAGGCAAAGAAACGCGATAGATTCGAGGTGGCGGTGGCGGTTTTTGGCAACGTTAAAGAAACGAAGGCAACAGTTAGGATCCAACCTAACTGCAGAATCACTCGGGTGGACCCCGAATCCTGAGCGGTACATATTAAAACAGCCAGTGCGTTTCGCTCTTTTGATATATAATGCAGGACGGTGTTGTTCGAGTTAAAAGCCCAGGAACCGCGGTGACTTAACCCTGTTAAACTGCGATGCCAAGTAAAACGCGGTTTGCTTTGCTTTTACTCGTTGGTTATAATCCATGCACAAAGTGTCCGGCCAGGAAATGGCTTCACCAATGCGGCCCAGACTTTCGAACGCGTTCGTTTCCAACCCTCAAATGGCACAAGTATCCGCCGCTCTTCAATGTCGTTTTTTCAAGTCATTAACTTTTGAAACCGTCGAAAACCCCCGCGTTGCGACTAATTTCTTGGTTTTTCCATCGAGTCACCCGTTTTTCACCCGCCGAGAAATTCTCGTTCGCGGTATTAACGTTGAATAAGAGAAATCGTTTCGTTAAGGAAACGAGATTCGTGTGTACCACGGTGGTGATTTATTGGAAAATTTCGACGATTTGTTACGATGCAACTATGAATGGATGTTATTGTATAACTGATATTGCTGTTGTACGTTCATAATTGTGGAAGAAATATGGCATCTGTGATATCGGAGACTCACCATCATTGGCTTTAATATTTTCTTCAACGTGTTAACACGATTTCCATATAACACGGAACGAATTAATTGTGTACACGCATTGTTTGAAACGATACATGCAATAATCTTCTGTGTTATTCATTTTTGAAAAAAATGAATTTCAAATTGAAAATTGCTTTGTTTCGAGAAGAAGATATCATCTGTTTATCGGATCAGTCACAATCTAAGTAGATGTGCTTTTCAAATTATTTTTTCGGTAGAAAATTTCGCACAACACAATTTCATGGAGATCAATTTTTTACGGTAGAATATTAAAAAATTTGAACCTTTTTGTAATTTTTTTTGTAATTTCCTCTGTTTCACATCATTATTTAAAAACGGCTTGAAAGGATCATTTATATAGGGAAAAATATCAATATATTTGTGCAAAAAATCTTTAAAAATCTTTAAATTGATTTAAAAAAATCTAGTTAATCTTAGATTAGAATTAAATGTTTAGATAGTAGAATTTTATAAGAAAAATCATTATAATTTGCTCTCGGTTCATCGATCTTTCAATGCTTAAAAAAATCTCTTATTCCTATATATTCCAAAAAAACCACAAAACTGTACCCTCTTCTTTTTAACAAACGAATAATTGTTAACACGTTACAAATTATTCATCTACTTATAAATTCAGTTGTATTTACAAAACGTCTCTTACAAAATTAAATTTATCGCATCTATTCGAAGGACGAAAAATGAATTGTGAAAATTCGCACGAAAAGATCTATTATCGAATAATATTAAAAAGATCTCTCTCTCTCTCTCTCTGTTTTTCTCTTTTTTATCGATAATATTCCACGCCACGGAATTCTCTTTAAAAGCTCCCGCGCCAGCTACGGCATTTTGTATTTCGAAAGATGGCGACACGCGGAGGACACAAGGGTGGTGTTGGATGAAAGAGAAATAGGGTAGGGAACGGCGGCGGTGGCAAAGTTGAGATGAGTTGGGGTGGCGGCGGGTGGCGCTGTACCGGAGGCTGCCATTATATCTGAGCCGCCATTTTAAATTGAATTTTCTCCACCCTAGATAGATCTGAAACGTCTCGGCCTTGCCGAGGAGGTTCTTCCTCCTCCTCCTCCTCCTCCTCGTTGCGCGACGCCGAGGGGTAAGAAGATGGGGAAAAGTAAGAGGGAAACCCCCCTCTCCCCATATCCCTATCTTTTTCTTATCTCTCCGGCCCCTGTTTAGCGATGGATATCACACACTTTCCCTATCCTCACTCACACCAGAATTTCCCCTAACGAGGAACAAACTAAAACGCGCGGGAATGTAAGTAGGGAAGTTGATTGCGTGCAATTTCAATGCCGTTTTGAATTCGCGGCTGGTTGATTCGGAATCGAGTATAATGGATTCCTCGTGGATTATTGTTCGATTTCAATCGAATTATTTCTCGATGAACGATCGGGGAAACATAGGATATAATAATAATAATAATAAATTAGGATTACTCTGCAAATTTTCTTTTTGTTTCTGTTTTTCTTTCTAATGAAATTTATTGTGAACTGGAAGTTTGATTTACAAGTAATGAATAATCAATTTGTTGATTAGATATCTTAGTATTTTTTTAATAGAAGTGTTTACATATGAGAATGAAGTTGTTGTATGCGATAGTGTAAAAATAGTGTAAAAATAGAAGGGGAAATGGAACAGTGTAAGTAATGTTGAAAAATTGAATAATCTTAATTTCTTTCTAAACTGTAAGGAGGTGTAATGATTATTCATTATGCACAATAATATTCAATATTTATTAATATTAATATAATATAATTTATTATTAATTTTGTTTTCTTAATTATGTTGAAAAATAATAATTGAAACTGAACTTTAATTCTAAATTCTATCAGATCTCACTTTATTAATTTCAGAATTTTATTAATCCTAGGATTATTATCCTTTCAATTTAGAAAATCTTTTTTTGATTTATTCTTATTGCTTTTTTCAGAAATTTCAACAGTCAGAGTTTTTATTAGAAGGGCTATTAGAAATTAATTTCGTATCTTTTTAATATAAAATTATTATTATTTAAAAAACATCGTATTACTTTTATTTTTTTTGTTCCATCTTTCAGATAATAATTTTGAATAATGACAAAATAAATATAATAATAATTGTGAAATAATAAAC